TATATAAATTATTTTTAAATAAATATTTTTATTTGCTTTGTGTGTATCCCTAGAAAATTGTTTAACCATTATTTAGCATTTTTTATGGATTCTGTACCCCAGAAACAGCATTTATACCCCAGAAACAGCAGTTTATAAACCCAGAAAATGCCGAGGTTTTTACGCTATGCATAAGCCAAGTCAAGCCACGCTTTAAATAACAAATCGGTATTTTGTTCAACAAAATGAAACATGTACCAATAAAATGAAACATGTACAAATAAAATAATAATAATAAAAGTTGTTTATATTACATAGTGAAACACTCATGTAACCATTATTTTAAAAATAGTGAACGAATATCACATTAATTTGAGTTTTAAGTAGCAAGACCTAACGAATTTAAACTAAAACTGCCTTTAAAACTTAACCAGTTAACCAATCAAACTGTTGCCCGCAGTTTGGTGCGGCCGTAGGCTACATTTGCACTAATTTTTATAATTTATACCAGTTTTTATTAAATTAAATACCTGTAGAATGAAAGTTTTCCTCATTCTTTAGGTTTTTTCATTAGTCAAAACTTCACTTAATTTGAAAATTAAAATTAAATTTTTTTACGCGGACAAAATCAAAAAATTTTAAAATTTGCACTACAGGGTGTCTTGATGTGTACGCTATCTTTCCATAAAAGAGGGTTTCTTGGGTCAGCTAGGTTGGCATTATCAGGATCCATGATAACTGTGTATATTTATGAATATTCAAATTGTTATTATAAAAAAGCGATTTCAGTAACTATTAAAATAATTAAGTTTAATTATGTAAGTTTAATTTTTTTGAGAAAAAAAAAATAAAATTACGTAGTTAAATTCCCGAAAAAAAAAATTATTATTATTACAATTTTTAAATACATCTAAAAATTATAGATAGAATTGCTTTTGATTTCAGAAAGATTTTCAAGAAGAAATGATATGTATAATAATCTTGTGACGACATAAAACCTGGAGGTCTCCTTGGTCCATCGTGAAGCATCTGGAACTTTCTTCAATATTTATTAATATTTTTCTCATTTCAAAATCATTTCCTTTCTATTTTTTTTTTCTTAAGAAAAGTTTCTTAGATTTTACAGATGTTTGGTTAATTTTTAATGACACTTTTTTTAATTAAAAAAAAAATATAACTTTGAACTTGTTACAAATAAAATATTAAATAGCATGTTATGCTTCAATAATAAAAAACAAAGGAAAATAAAATCATTTATCGGATGTTCTTTTATAATATTAAATTTATAATACATATAATATTAGGATTTATGCTAAGTTCAAATTTAAATTGCCAATATTGAATTAGCATTTCCGCTTGAACGCGAGTTTGTTAATTTTGATTTTTATGTTTTGATAAAACTTAAATTATTTATGTTTTGATAAAACTTACATAAGTCGGTTACAAAAATATCCTGGTGGAAGTGTTATTGACGTTTTTCGCTAAATGCAAATAAATTTTTGGGAAGATGTCAAGCTGTGATTCCATTAAAGGACATATTGATATCGAGGTTTATGTATGCAGCAGAACATTTCTGTAAAATATTTTAATACCCAATACATTGATTTAAAAAAAATCACTCTTTACAACTTATAAGAATTTTTAACTAAGTATTTCTTTAGTTTTGTTTAGAATTTCTAAAAGCTCTAGATAGTTGAACTATAACTTTCTCAAACGTCAATATATGTTAAAACATGCTTATACAAAAACATAATAATCCAGTACAAAAAACTTTGAAAAAATATTTTTCTTTTCTTCATTCTTTTTTTATAGTAATTCTAGATTTATGTCTCACTCAATGATGTTTTATTATATAAACTAGATGTCTAACTTGCAGTATTTTATTGGACGAAAAATGAATCCGCTTTTTTATATATTGTTATTTATTTCTCTCCTCCGACGTCTATTTTGCGGATATATTAATAATGGATACAGTGGTATTTTTACAAGACGGCCCAATGTTCTACTACTGCTTACTACTAAGTCACACATAAAACTCTTAAGAAGTACACACTTAACAAAAAAAGAAAAAAATCTTACAAGCACTTCAAAATCAAACGAAAAGAACGAAAAACAAAAATAAATATAAAAATGAAAAACTAAAAATAATCGAAAAAGTTCCAATAATAATCTGGGCATTGCAATTTAAAAAAATTGTTCTTCATATCTATAATAATTTTGTTGCCTTTGCTCCAGATAATTCCACATTCTAATAGAAAAAATCTTTCTTGTTTGACAATTTCAAAATTTCGAATTTCTCACAAAAAATCTTTCTGATTTTGTTTTGGAATTCTATTAGCAGAGTCACTCTTGCAAACATAGACGTAGAATGAACTCATTTTGTTACAGTATAATTTATATACAAGCTCGCTAAAAATTAGATTTCCAATGTCAAGAAAAAAGAAGAGGTTTAAATGTGTTTTTAAGAGGTAGATGATGTAGATAGATTTTTTGAATTAGAGCAAGTGTGTATTTTATAAGCGTTTGTACTTTTTCACAACTGAACATCATATGGGTTATGTGTTTTTTTTCATGCATTGATGGCAAAGATAGTCGGGTATGTAGCCTCTTTTTCTAAATATTGAATTGGTATTGCATAGTGGATAAGTTTGTATTTTATATAATCCATCCTTTCACTTAACATGAACACTTTGTTGTCAACCTCTATGCATCAAAAATAATGTTTTTCTAAAATATCAGCTATTAAATTCCTTTTTAAAAGGAATCTTTTTCAATCAATAAATCTTTACATTTTTAAAATCGGCTAAGAATTCTAGTGGGTTTGTATATATATTTTTTTTAATCTCTTTTTTAAGAATTTTTTTAAAATAAAACTTACTGCATAATTTTGTTTAATAATAATATAAAAATATACTCTTGTTAATCTGTCAATCTTTTGTTTTATTATAGCATATTTAGGTTTACTACAGTAAAAAACTTAAACATAGTTCTTACGTTTAAGACAAAGTAGGGTATTTAAACGAGAACTTGGCAATCTTTAGTTTACTGAACTATTAAATTGAAATTGAAAAGTTTGTTTTTCACTTTTTAGTACAAAAAAATTATACTTTTTTAGGGATAGTCTATAAAGTAAATACGCTCGCAGGGGAAGAGAGGGTCTGCAAATGGCATATATGAGATGGGAGGGCAGATAGATAAATAGGTTAAAAGCGCACGTACTTTTAGGGAGATAAAAGCGTACGTACTTTATGCACGACCCTTTAGCAAATGTTTTTGCTATATTTTATTTTTTATTTTTAAAAATAGTCTGCCATTTGTGGTAAGAGCAAAAGCTGAAGTTGGAGCATCAAAAGTTCCCAATAAGTTAAAGATAATTTAAAAACACGTTTTAGCAGTTATAAAATACTTATATAAGTTTTTTTATGAGCCTACATTTATTTTTATAGTTATTTTAGGTATATATATATATACTATTACCTAGTTTTATTATTATAGGTTTATTATAGGTATTATAAATCATAAAAATGCATTTGTCTGCAAAAAAGCATCTATTCAAAAATTTAATCTTTTTCTAATTGGAAATGAGTTTAGAAAACATAAATTATTTTTTTAGAGTATTCAAATTTCCTCTTAACACCTTTACATAAATAGTATTTATATTTAAAATATGTTTACTTCATTTAAGAAAAAAAAAGTTAATATAATAAATAAAAGTTAAATAAATTTTGTTTTTTTTTATTTTTGAATTTTATTTTTAAATTTATTTTTAAACTTTTAAATTTTAAATTTTTGGTTTTTTTAAATTATATTTCTTTACATATTTAATCCGCCATTTGTAAAAAGGGCAAAAACGGCTTCACTTTTGGGATCCAAGTTAGACATCTAGTTTATATAATATATCTTTGGTCTCAATTGACACATGCATAAGGAAATAATATCTAATATGACGTTTATAATCAATTATGAGTTTTGATTATTATGAAGCGATTCAGAATAATGATCAAGTGCTCTGAATTTGTAAGACACTTAAAAATAATAAAAGAGGTTGGTGCCGATACATTTTAACAGTAAGAAAAGAGGTTGGTGCCGATATACTTTTACAGTAATTTTTGTTGCTTCATATAGAACAAAAAAATAATAATATAATAATAAATACGGTAAAAAATCTTTTTGCGTATAAAATGTATGATCAACTATTAAAATAAACATTTTAAACTCAGAATTTATGAATTTATTTTTTATTTTCTTAAATCGTTACGTTTATGGCGTTATAAATTGTAGGAAAGTAGAAGAATATTTCTTCAGAAAACATTTAATTGTTTATTAATTAAAGTGATGTGACAAAAAATGCATAAGTAATTAAAAGTACCTAAGACAATATTGCCTTATTTAGTTTTTTTTTTGTATTTTCATAAAAAATAAACACAACTCGAAAAAAAGATACTATACAAAAAGGTACTTTAAATGAAATTGAGTAGACTCAATTAATGATAAAAAGTTTTTTTTTTGTTTTTCTTTGCACAAGCGTCTATTTATCTTTGAGCAGCTTCATTTGTGGTTAAAATAAGTTAAATTTTTTAAACTACAAAGTATTAGTCCTAATACTTCAGAATATATGCATAAATTTTAATTGAGATCAGAATATAGATAATATACGATAGATGTCATTTTGAGTGTCCACATGCATAATTTGTATGAGATAATCAATAACAAAAATTAATTTTTTTGTTTTTTTGGGCAATAAAGGTTAAGTTTCACAATAAACTCACGTTTTTGTACATTTCAAGCACTTTAGGAGGCCTAATTTTACTTAACCTACTATTATTACGTCAATAGGTGTGGTTTTCATCATCATCTTTATTTTTTTTTGACTCAAAACTGGCTTTTAGAAAATTGATAATAATTTAAAAACATTAGGAATATTAAGAATAAATTAAAATATTTACTTAAAACTTTAAATTAAAACACTAAAACCATTTTTTTCCCGAATATATACATATAAAAAATTCTTCTTCTTATAGATTTAACGGCACCACTACAAATATTTATAACCAAACTTTCAAATCCGTTACCTCTAAAAAATAATGCGCTAATTTATTTCTCCGGTAACTTAACGTTAAAAAGTAAACTACCCAAAGGCATTTTCGTAAAGTTCAGTTTGGCTAGAAAAGTATTAGAATCTTGGTTGAGGTTGCCGTGCGTAGGATGGTAAGTATAAAAAAATTTTGTTTCCTTTATTCACGACCCTTTCAAAACCTTTTGCAATTACAGCAAACAGAAAAACAGAGACATTTTTCTACAACTATTACTGATGCACTACATTATGTTTTTATCAAACTTGAAAATCCTAGCTATGTAGGTTAGAGATTTTAGTCCTCAACCCTTGTCACATTTTGTTATTATAAATTTATATATATTTTTTATTATTGAACTTGTTGCTCCTCTAAATTTATTCTTAATTTTTTTTTTCTTTTTTTATTAGAAGAATCTATTAAACTTTAAACATTTTTAGCGACTTTGGAGTGGACTGCGATAAATTACCAGAGTTATGTTTTTTTCGTAACACATGTGAAAACTGTACAATAGGGGTGGAAAACTTGAAATTTCAACTACCCTCTGACATTGAGGAACAAATTCTCGTTTATATACCCAACTTTGTCTTAAACGTAAGAATTATATTTAAGTTTTTTACTGTCGTAAACCTAATCAAAAGTTATACATTTTTTCAACTTTATTTAAAATAATAAATCATTTAATAAAAGCTAAAAATCGTTTTTGAAAAAAAAAAATTATAATTTAGGGTGACTTTTGGGCAAGAGTGCAAATTGTCGATCCAGAAAAAGACGAGAAAGACAAGGATAAAGTCTTGAGTTGCTTCGAAATATACGTCACAATTAAAGTTTGATTTATAAATCATTCTAACAAAGAATATTCGAATAAAGTTCTTTTGATTAAAAAATTATTAAAAATCGCATCTTAATATCAGGCTAACTAAGAAACAAAGAACACGAAAATATAACAACAGAAATAATTAAAATTTTATTTATTTACAAAGTCAATCTAAAAATTTATAAAAAAGATATACACAAATATGCACATTATATGAACTTATTTTTTCCTTCAAGCATTATATGCTTAAAGCGCAGTACTATAAATATTCGTTTTAATGATATGTATTTTCTAGCATCATTTTACTACTAAAAATTAAAATAAAAATTTATTTGTAAATTACATTTAAAATGTAGGAGATTCAAAAAACCAACAAAAAGAACAAAAACCTTGAAAAAACAAAGATCAAGAAAGCAGTATAGGTTTAATAAATAAATATATATATATATATAAATTTAATTTATCCAATATACGATTATATATAAGCACAATGACTTATTTTTTTTCTCATTTTCTTGTTTTTCAAGCTTTTGTACGAAACCTGAACTGCTTCATGAAAAACCTCACTGACATTAACAAAAGTCTTAGCTGAGCACTCCATATATGATGCCGCTTTGGCAAATTTTGCCATTCTTATTCCCTCAGCTGTTGTGATTGGCACCTGCTTTATTTTCGCCAATCGTTTTATAGTGTTCTCATCATTACGCAAATCCACTTTCGTACAAACAATTATCAGAGGAGTATTCGGACAAAAGTGCTTCACTTCAGGTATCCATTTATCGTGGGCGTTATAATATGAATCAGGAGAATCGGCTGCAAAACAAACTAGTAATATATCTGTGTCTGGATACATTAAAGGTCTCAGTCTATCGTAAGCATCCTGTCCTGCAGTATCAAACAGCGAAAGAACGACCGTATGTTGTTCGACTGAAATTGTTTTAGTATAAGTCTCAAAAACAGTTGGAACGTAATTTTCCGGTACTCTGTTTTTAGCGAATGCTAAAAGAAGAAATGTTTTTCCGCATCCACCATCCCCAACTATGACTAACTTTTTGTACACTTTGGGTTGCTCTTTTGATTCTGTTTCTATCACCATACCTTATTACTTTAAAACAACTTAAACTTCTTTTTCTAATGTAAAAAAAAAAAAAAAAAAAAAGAATAATTATAACGGTACATAATGTTTATTTAGGATTATTTGCTTACTTAGTAAAAGAGACAATATTAATTATTTATTCAAAAAAAAGTATAAACAAAACAAAGTAAACTTTTGAAACAATTTTCCCATCATTATCATCGTTATATGTCAATAAAATTTTATTATTTGCTTTCATGAATTCATTTTATCGCGTTATGTTATAATCTACGGAAAACAACTAAAAACAATAACTTCGTCATACAGCAATAAAATAACAGTAATAAAAGCTTTTTTCTTCAAGAAAGTATAAAAAGAATTTAAAATCAGTCAAAGAAAATGAATGAACTTTATTTTCACAGAAGCGACTAATTGTCAAAGCGAGACTTATTTAAAAGAAAGCGTGAAGTAATGTACTGCGTAATTAACGTAATTACGATAACTTAGATAAGTATTAAAATGTCTTTAATTATCTAACTTTGTCATTCTTCAATGCAACTATCTAACTAATATTGATTTATGCAACAACAACAAAAAAAATGCGTAACTATTCTATGCAAAATTTTTAGTAAATAAATAGTAGAATGAGTTATAGTGTAACGAGTTTACCGATGTTGCATTTATTTTAATCGTTTTGAAACACATTTACAGTAAAAATATAAAAAAAATATTTCCTTATTAATTTTCAATGTGTAATAAAATCAAGTGATAAAATTTTAACAAAAACTTAAATACTTTTTTCAAAACACTTATTGTTTAAAGTACCGATTAACGTATATTTTTGTAACGCCTATTATATATTCATAACGATTATCAGTCACAAGTTTTTGAAAAAACAAATTTTTCTCATAGACTGAACTGCGAACTATTGCAAAACTTTTAAGTAAACAAATAAAAAAATAAACCCAAATGTTGCAAGTAACATGCATGTGAGTTATCCGACCCGTCAAAAACAAGTCTGTTATGTTTTAAATGTAATGTACTATTATACTGAATCTTATAATAATAATAATTATAATAATAATAGTTTATAATGACTGGGTAGATACCACTTTTTTATTTGAAAAGGATTATTTAAAAAAAGCAAATTATTTCTTTAGCGGTATTTATAACAATTTTAAATAACTACTCGAAAGTCCTAGTTTTTTAAAATTTACCGACTGCCATTACGACATTTGCCGACTGACTTTACCGACTAACCTATCGACAGGGTCTACATTTGCCGACTAACTAGTCAAAAAGGGTCACATTTGCCGACTAAGGGTCACCCCCACACCCCCTATCACGCCGGCATTGACTAGGATCCATTTACGAATTTTTGTGCATAACTTATTTCGCCTTGAAAAAATGTTTACATCAAAATATCGAAATTATTGATTTGAGCAAGAAGAAGGCACATTTTGCCTTATCGCCGAGCCCTACAACATACATAAAAAAATCTACATAAACGTAACAAATAAATATATATAAAAACATAAATCAGAATTAAAACAGAGAATAACTAAGAAAAGAAAGAAACTAATAATAGGAAATAATTAAGAGGTGTTAAAACGCTTACAACCGCTAAAATGTTTAAGAACGCTTAAAGAAAAATTTCTTAATAAAAAAATTATAAAAAATTTCATAATTAACTTAATCACTAGAAGAGCTTTTTAACATCATTACTTAAATTTGATTGGTCTAAAAATCTAAATAAATCTGTTTTTATTTGATTGAGCTTAATTTAAAAGAAACATTTAAAGCCAGATAAATTAAGATCCCTGAAGAGTAAAATTTGAGACTTCATGAGATTCTTATAATTGAAGTTTTTAAATCTGTAATGGCCTATGGCCGTATGATATATATAGATATATATATTTAATTCAAATCATTCTTTTAAGTTAAAAACTTCCATCAGTTTATTATTTGTTGCTAAAAAGTGATGGAACCACCTAAATGCTTATAGTACATAGATTATTACCTAGTTTTTTTTTTGTATGTATTTAGGTGCTCCCAGAAGTCATATTATTATCATAGAGCACCAAGGGAGAGCATTTAATGGAAAGTTCACGCCTCCTTCCGTACCAATGTCGCTTGTTAGGCTAGAGCTGGCATCGAACCTGGGACCTCTGGGTTCTGAGCCAGAACTCTAACCACTGCGCCACGGCTACTCAAAGTTAAAAAACTAAGTGCCTAAAAAATGATAAAAAATAAAATTTTTTATACCAAGATACCTAAAGTTATATTTAAGTTCAATATTATTAAATATCCAATAATATTGATGTTATATAAAATATATGATAATTATTAATGTTAAGTCATTAAAAGTTATTAACGCTTTCTGTTATGAATCTTTAACTATGTTCTTGTCATTTAAGTTGAAAGGTATTGTGTTGAAAAGATTTTTTTTTAAAAGCTCTTCTCGGGGTTTATTATGCCTAATTTAATTTAAATAAATTAAATAAATTTACTAACAAAAATAACAAACAAAAGTTTTATAAAACTAAGTAAATAATACTTTTATATCAACAATATTAAAATAATATCTTATAAATCAATTATTTTTTAAAAATATTTTGTTTTATTTATTAACCAGTGACAGGTTGCAACAAAGAAACTTTTCATTACATTTTTAAAGATTTTTTGAACACAAAAAATAAAGGGGCATTCAATTACTACGTGACAATTTTTATCACAATCCTCATTCCCATATGTGGCAGTTTTGGACTTCTTTTACACCTAAATCTATAAGATCTCCCTGCATTATTTGCAGGTATAAATTTATTATATATATATATATATATATATATATATATATATATATATATATATATATATATATATATATATATATATATATATATATATATATATATATATATATATATATATATATATATATATGTATATATATATATATATATATATATATATATATATATATATATATATATATATATATATATATATATATATATATTTAGGATTGTTTTGTTTTCCTTTAAAGAATTTATTTAAGGTAATTTAATAAATAGATTACAATCTTAACAATATTGAGTAATGTTAAAAGTTTTAACATTACATAGCTCTTACTAAGTTATTGTTTTTGTGTTGGTGCTAAGCGTTTTGGACTTCTCTAAGTCTTACTCATGGATTCCACTATTCTTTACTCTTCTCTAATATAATAAGATTTTATAGTCTTAGATATTCCAGAAACATCTTTTAAAGTCATACTTCCCTGGTACTAATATGTATTCTTTAAAAAAGTAAGCAAAAAATATATAAATATCAAAAACTCAAATATATAAAAACAAAAATATATAAAAAAAATATATAAAAAGTTCTTGCCAAAGTTTATAATAACAAAGTTTATAGCTTTAACATGTTTACTTTAGGTTAAATTTTTCTTAATTATGAAGCAAGACAAGATTACATTAGGTATAAAAAAAGACATGTTTACCAAACTCAAAAATACTTTGACGCCACTGTTTAAAACTCAAGATTAATTTTTTAACACAGTTGAAAAAACTGTGCAGTCAGGAGTACCAATTTAAAATAATCGAGTAATTGAAAAATGAGTTTTTGTTTTTACTATATTACCCGTTATATATATATATATATATATATATATATATATATATATATATATATATATATATATATATATATATTATATATATATATAACGGATATATATATATATATATATATATATATATATATTTATATATATATATATATATATATATATATATATATATATATATATACATATATATATATATATATATATATATATATATATATATATATATATATATATATATATATATATATGTATGTATATATATATATATATATATATATATATATATATATATATATATATATATATATATATATATATATATACAGGGCCGACGACACGGGTTTCTGGATGAAAAAAAAGTTTATATTTGTTATCTACTATTTTTTAATACTTATTTTAAATAAGTATCTAGTTATTTGTTTAATTTATTAGGTTAAAAAAGGGTTATAAAAATTGTTTACAGTATGTAAACAATATAAACAGTATTGCACCATTTTGTTTGTTACTCGGAACATATAAAACGATCTACCATTATACATCATTTTTCACAATTTATAAATTTTAACATGCACATGCGTGAATCAAAACGAAAAAAAAAAAACTTTAAAAAAATTACCTAACAGTCTTTTTTTGATTTTGAAATATTTAATAGTTATAAATTATTTTCTTTACTTTTTAAACGAACATTTGCAAACTTAAAAGCGATAGTTCCAATGGATTGCAGGCAGTTAAAATAATAATGCAGCATTTGATTTTCTTAAGAATATTTGAATAAAAACTTTCTTTACAAAGTTTGCCAAATCTATGTCGATGTTAGAAATGCCGAATAGACTTTTTAAGATTTTTAAAAATTTGAGATCAAAGTTGGGCAGTCATACATAAACACTTTTTTTAAGACTTAATTGGACACGAAAAATTTACTATCGCGTCAAAAACTATTTAGTATCTTAAATGTTATTATGACATATTGTGCCAGGTAACAACACATATTGCTTTAAAACATATAAATACGATTAGAAAACCAGACTTACAAAAACTAGCACGCAATTGTTGATTTTCAATTAACGAACAAAAGCTAAAATCTAACGGCTCAAGGAGGAGCAAACCACCTTAAAACTAATAACTGTCTTTTTTTTTTCTTCCTTTTCTTTTTTTTTTTTTTTTTTTTTTTTTTGTTTTTTTGTTTTCTTAAATAGAATTATTTACTTGCTCTAATTAGACGTCTAAACATTTTATTAATTTTATAGATTCTAGATGAATAGATAATTAGTTGATAGAAAATACGATAAAAAAAATTTGGTTTTTAACAACAATAAAATACAAAACAAAAATATACCAAGAACTACGCATTAATAGAATAGTCTGAGAAATTCATTAGGAAATAAGTTAATATTACTTTGCATATGCGATATGCAGTTCAAAAAGCCAAAAAAAAAAAAATTTGAATTAATTTGAATACTAATCAAACTGTAATAAAACTAAAAACAATATAAGGTTAAACCTCTTATTATATTTTTATAATGAGTCATTTATGATAAACAATAAAGAATCATTATACTTTGTCAAATACAAAACTTAGAAAAGATGTTAACTTTTTAATAACTTTGTAGGTTTCAGTGCCCATCCCATCATTTTGATAACTTTAGTTAAATCGCGCTTAAGGTTTACACTTATATTTTATTTATTCATTGGTTAGAAACAAAATCTTTTAACAACCAATTAAAGGCAGACAAATATTGATGTAAAAAAGTTGGTTTGTTAAAAGTAAGGAGTGTTTATAGCTTGGTAAAGCTAGAAACACTCCTTACAACGTAAGTATAGTTTATAGTTTGGAGGGGGGACTACTAAAAATAAAATTCAAGATAATTTAGATGAATCATTTACGTCACTAACTAATAATATAAAAGAATTTTCCATTTTACTAGTAATATTATATTATATTACTTGTAATATTATGTTATATTACTTGTAATATTATGTTATATTACTTGGTACTTAATATTTTACTTATTGTTTAAAATGTTTTATGTAATAAAATACAGTGAAACAGTAAATTAAAAGTTAAATTTGATTCTAATATATATAAAAAGTTAAAAAACAAATAGTACATAGCTTTTTTATTTAAAAAAATCTTATTTAAAAAAATCAATTTTTTTAAACCAAATTTAAAACGCTATACCACCCTTCTAGATACGATATCAGTGTAATATTGGCGCAGTATTATCTTGACCTATATAGACACAATATTAACTTGAATACGCCAATCTAATATAAGTTCATTAGCCAAAATATAACGCAACAACATTGGTGCAATAGCAAAACAAAATTATATTTTAAAGAACTTTGCCAATATTAAAATTATATATTGGTAAAATATTAACTTTAACATATAAATATGTTAAATTTTTAAATTTAATTTATTTATTACAGTAATCAGTACAACTTCTTGATTGAATTGATGAAGCGAAACTCATCAGGCTTTCCTATGCTGACAATAGAATTTGCTGCAGCCGAAGCAGCATTTTTAACGTGTTTTTCAAAAAAGTGCACAGCGGGTGTATCAACTACATTCTGAGCTAATTTGTTCCATCGGTTAGTAACTCGGTTTGTAAAGAAGTGCTGACGTTCTGAATTTCTTTTGATCAGTTATGGTTTTAAACATCGACTGTTTCTTCTCGTGAATTTAACAAAAAAAGCTGGGCTTGTGGTATGTAAATTTTAACTTCTTGTAACTGATGAGCAATTTTGTATTGCAGTATAAGGTCATTGCGAACTCTGCGTTTTTCCAGCGTGGTTAGATCTAGTAGTTGTAGTCGTTTTTTGTAATTAAAATGTTTTATTGACGATATAACTTTTGTTGCACGTTTTTACACACGTTCCCGAAGGACGATTTCCGATTTAAGATGTGGAGACCAGGTATGTACACAATACTCTAGATGCGGTCGAACGTATAGCTGGTACAATTTCTTCCAAAGCTGGAGGCTACGGCATCGAAATGTCTTTTTGAGGCGACAAAGCATTCGATTTCCGGCCGAAGCTGCTGCTTCTACTTGTGCTTTCACTTTGAGGTTGTCGGATATTAGTACCCTAAGGTCGCGCTCAATGCACGTTGGAGATAAGCTATGTTGGTTACCGTTGATGTCTGCCACGGTATAGGTATGTGTTGATTTATTTTTGAGGCAACCAACGTGCATTACTTTACACTTCTCAATGTTGAAGTGCATAAGCCATTTATGTGACCAACTTACAGCGTTGTCAATGTCCATTTGCAGTGTTTTATAATCAGAGAATGATTGATTATTATTTATAATTCCTATGATCTTGCTATCATCGGCGTATAACTTAGTATATTTGCTAATGCCATCTGGATAGTCATTGACAAAAATCACAAATAGCAGTGGTCCAAGTACTGATCCTTGAGGGACTTCACTTGTAACTCTTTTCCAATCGGAAATTTATTCCCCAATAACTACACGTTATTTTCTTTTACTTAGCCAAGCAGAGATCCAGTGGAATAGCTGACCTCTAATGCCGTAGGCCTGAATCTTGTGAAGGAGTCATTTGTGTGGTAATGTATCGAAAGCTTTGGCAAAAACTGTAAATATTATGTCAACAATGTGTCCACGGTAAGCTGCCTCCGTGAGAATGTCACGGGATTCAATTAAATTTGTAAGACAACCTCTGTGATTTATAAATTCTGCTGAGATTTTGAAATAAGATTGTGTAGTGTACAGTGTTTCATAATCCTCTCTTTTATAATTCTCTCCATTACCTTGCATGGTACAGAGGTAAGAGATACCGGCCTATAATTACAAGCTTTGAGTTTGTTTCTTTTTTTGAAAATAGTAGTAACATTTGATTCACGCCAAAAATCTGGGACATTTCCAGTTTGAAAGGATTGCTTGAAAATAAGTGAAAGAGGTATTGCAAAAGTTTTTACGCAGTTTTTTAGAACACGAGGATATACTCCGTCAAGTCCCATTGATTTAGTGTCGTCAAGGCAGAATAAGTAGTTTTGTACTGTAGCAACTGTAAACAAACTTTCGTCGATTTCGCAAGTTGATTTTGTTCTCTCTTCAAATATTGGTAAAGGTATTGGGGGTTCTTCAACAAAAACTGAATAAAAATAATTGTTTATCGTTGAAGTTATAAACTTAGAGTCTTCGGTGATGTTATCATCGCTAGTTTTAAGCATACTAATTTGATTATGTACTTTAAGTTTTGGGAATTCCTTGAAACAGCTTACTAGTTGATGTTCGTAATGAAGGACAGCCGCATTGACCACTTTTTTAACGTGTTTGCATGCAGCCTGATGTTCATTACATAATTTTGCATGAGAATCTTTTCCTGCAGCAACGTATTTGTTCAACGCCCAAGTTGAACGTTTTAATTTTACTGCTTCCAATACTTTTGGTGTGACCCAAAGATCTTGCTTAATTTTAAATGGAGTCGTTGTTGATGGAATGTGCAATTTACAGCTTCGTCATATACGTCAATAAACCAACTGTACAGATCGTTTGCATAAAGATTGGTTGGTATTTCTTTAGAAGTTATATGTAATGAAATTGCATCAAAATTTGCTTTATTCCAGATAAGCCGTCGGCGACTAGGAGATGTTAGTTTGTTTTTGTTGAAGTATACTGCAAAAAGACCGACTAAAAGACAGTGAGCTTTTCCGATTGGTGTATGTTCGAGCGAATTTCCTTTGTTTATTGAGATTAGGCGATCAGGATTATTAGTAATGATGAGGTCAAGCGTGCTACATGGAGTTGCAAGCATGTTATTGCGGTATGTTGGGAATGTTACTAGTTGAGTTAAATAGCAGTCTTTAAGACGCTCTTGGAATTTGATATCGCCGGGACGTTGTTCAGTAACATGATCGATTGTTTCTTCACCACCACCAACATTGCATGATTTATAACTGGTGTGACTAAAATTAAAATCACCATACAAAAGCATTGTTGAAAACTTTAATTTTGGCAATATCTGTTGCACTGCTTTAATAGAGGCAAGAATCTGAGTGAGCGTGTTATCGTTTTTATCTATTGGGAGATACATACAACCAAAAAGTGCTAATTTGTTTTTAAAATGTTTTATGTGCCAGATTTGTTCTACGGATGTCGAGGTGAGTGTGACGTCGGTAACCTTGCTGTTAGCGAAGCCATCTATGATGTAGATTGCAACACTCTACCATCTACCGCCTCCTCTACCATCACGGTCTGTGTTATGCAGCTGATAGCCAGCAATAGTAGTGTCTGACATAGCACTGAACCAAGTTTCAGAAAAGAATATTACGTGTGGCTATTCAGATTTGTCAATAGAAGTAAGTCTTGCTACAAGTTCATGGAGTTTTTCGCTGTTTAATGAGCATGGGTTATTTGCCCAGAAGCGGAAGAGGTTTATCGAAGGTAACTTAAAACGTGGCAAAGTAGCCTGTGACTGCAGGTCTTGTAATGGGTTATTTGGCAAATGTTGTTTACGTTTTGCTTTGGTTTGTGGGATTGGGCTTATATTATGTGGTTGCAGTTCGCACGGTTGTGAGAAGACGTTTGCGGTGCGGTGCAAGGGTGCTTGCTGGGGAGGCAAAGACATATTAATGTAGTTCATTTGACTTTTGAATATCAATGCAGCAGATTTCTCCGTTACGCTTGTGGACAACATTCCGAAATGGTTTGTCAAGTACATCCGCAGCATATAGTTCACCATTAAGTTTTTTCATTTTACTTCGTAGCTCATTGAATGCCTCCTGTTGTGAACGAGTTCAATCTTCACCACAGAAAATTCCTTTGAATTCAGCAATATTATGGTGACTACATTTCTGAGGCACTTCTGATCGAGATTGTTCATTTATTAAAGAGACCTTGACTATGTTGGAGTTATGGATTGTGTTGTTTATCTTGCTAGATTTTATTCTGCTGAAGTCGCCTATTTTGGCACTGTCAACTCCACATGCATTAAAAAACTTGTTTGCAGCTATTATATCGTCGTAATCATCTGATTTGGGTAGCCCTACGATTATGACATTACGATTATGCCCGGTTTTGTCGATTTTCAGATGTTGATTAGTCGATGGCAATGTTGGACTTCCTCAGCTGATTTAACTTTAAGTATGGTTGCAAATGATTCCAAATTGTTGGATAATGGTACACTCTTTAGCTTTTTGCTAAGCTCGTCTATCCGAGTGTTTAATGTACGTACAGATTCTATATTTGTATTGTTCATTACCTCGACATTATCGTTATAAGTTTTTATCGTTCCTTTGCTTAAAACATTATCCTTCTCGTGAGAATCAGATAAAGTCTTTATTTTTCTATCAAAAAGTTCTTCGTGGAAATTTAAACTTTCTACGATACTTGCTACTTTATTTTCAAGCGACTTGATTATTTTAGCGTTTTTGTGAATATCCTTTTTCAACCCTAGCCATTCGATTATTAGTCATTTTGGTATTTGCATTTATTATGCTTATCAAGTTTTTTTCTTGTTCTTTAAACATTAACTCCGTTTCATTTTTGTTTACTGAATACATTTCTTTCAATACTTTTTTTCTAGTTTCATTAGAAAGTTCCATTGCTGCCGTAATTTCATTATTTTCTATAATACTATCTTATTAACAAAAAAAGGTTTTATCTTAACTGTGTATACTTTCCGATATATATATTAAATTATTAAAATTCTATATTAAATTATTAAATTTTTAGTTATAAAATACTAAAAATTAAAAATACTACCATTATTTTCTTTAAATTATAGCTCTAGCAAAAACACCTCTTCTCACAAAAAAATACTCAAAAGATGTTTCTTAATAACTTTAAAAATTTCAATACAAGTTAACTGGTTAAAATGACCCATATCAATATACTCCTGCAATTCTGCATTTAGGCTTTCTGCGGCTAGAATGGTTTAAAATATAATATAAAATATTAATAATAATTGTAATAATATGTATTATAAGATTAGGTCCTCAAATTAAAAAAAGGGAATGGTATTTTTTTAAAAATTTTGAGATTTTATATTGACATGTTTTACAAATAACAGACTATATCAGCATAAAATTTGAAGAGAAAAAAAAATGTCCAAAAATAAAGGGTCCAGTTAATGAAATAAAGAATATTTCTGCTTTGAAAAACAGATGCATTACATGTATTACCGATACGGTAGCAGGAAGTGTATTGCCACGGTTGTGACAAAACAACCGTGGCAATGCACTTCCTGTTACCGTATCGGTAGTGACAAACGGTTCTAACAGCCGTTTTGTCACTAGCGCTCATCTTTAAAATCATTTTTTAACAGATGAAGAATTATGTGATTTGGAAATATATACCCGACGGGCATTTGTTTTTAAAAGTTACGTTCTGAATGTGTTTTAAAAGTCTTTTAAACGTCTTTTAAACATTAATGTTTAAAAGACGTTTAAAAGACATTTAAAATACATTTAGATCGTAACTTTTAAAAAGAAATGCCCGTCGGGTAACGAATAAAACAATTGAGAGAAAATTATTTATCATATTTGGTTTGAGTATTTATTTTTTATTTTATCAGCTTACATAATGAATAAATCTTAAGAAATTTTGAAAATACTCTGTTCAATTCAAAAAACTAAGTTTTTAAATATATTTTTTCTAAAGCCATATGTATGGCAAGGGCGAATCAATAGAGGAGAGGGCGATGGGGTAGATTGCCCCTTCAGACATTTTGGAAAGATTTTATTTTCGTGTTTCTATTAGGGGTGCACCAATGTCTACTTTAGGCCGATGCCAATTAGTACAGGACGATACTAATGCATCGGCTATAAATTCATCTATGTACTCTTTACTTTTTTACTTATATTTAAATTTGGATTTTTTTTCAAATATATGTTAACGGTCAATTTTAATGCTTGCTTATTTGCTAAAATTTGCTCAATGCTAAGTTACTTTGCTCGTTGTTGATTTATTTTTTATTATAAGTTTAATTTCTAGAATATAGTTAGAAGTTTTATTATATATATATATATATATATATATATATATATATATATATATATATATATATATATATATATATATATATATATATATATATATATATATATATATATATATATATATATATATATATGTATATATATATATATATATATGTATATATATATATATATATATATTTATATATTTATATATATTTTTATATACTTTATATATATTTTTATATACTTTATATAAAAAATATAAAGTATATAAAAATAAAGAAAATTTAATGATATATAAAGTAAAAAAAAAAAACAATCTATAAAAAATCTTTGTATATTTTATTTATCTATATACATATATAAATATAAAACACATATGTTATCTAACAATTATCTAAAAAGTAATTGTGACTCTTCATACGAGAATCGCCATTATTAAAACACCTTATAATAATGGCGCCATTATTAAAACACCTTTGTGATATAGTGAAAAGAAGAAGTCGCGTTTTATGAGTATACATCAACTTTTATTGACGCGTCAAACTTTAGCGGTAAATACATCAGTACTATGACAGTAAATAAAATAGGCTTTTATACTCATACAGTAATATAATAAAAAAATTAGTTAATCTAAATTTCATTATTTTTATATGTATCTAATATGATATTAGATACATATAAAAATAATGAAATTTAGATTAACTAATTTTTTTATTATATTACTGTATGAGTATAAAAGCCTATTTTACTTACTGCCATTTATATTTTAAGTATTATAGTTTTTTTTTTTTTAAACGTAATACTTAAAATATAAATGTCAGGAAATAAAATTATAAAATTAAGATTTTATACTCATACAGTAATAATATAATAAAAATCAGTCAATAAATCTAAATTTGCATTATTTTTATATATATTTAATTTTATTTTCTTTGAAGTTAACAGTCAATAACCTAATCCCTGTTACTATATTATAGATACATGTAACTATATTATCTATCATAATATGATATATATGACAATATGATATATATGAATCGATTCATATATAATATAGTAACATACATATATAATTATTATAAAGGTATGTTACTATATTATATATGAATCGATTCATATATATCATATTGTCATATATATCATATTATGATAGATAATATAGTTACATGTAATTTTTTTTACTGTTATATCTTGTTACGATATTATATTATAATATCGTAACAAGATATAACAGTAAAAAAAATTATATGTGTACTACTAATAATAATCGAAAGTACTTTGAGTTACAGGAAAGTTTGAGTTATCTGAGGTTTGAGATTTTGGGAGTTTACTGTATTCTTATGATTATTATTTTTACATTTCATCTACATAGAATTTTGAATTTTATGCTGAAAGTTGCACTTTTATATATATATATATATATATATTTTAAATTTTAATTTATTATACTTTTGCAACATTTAATAAAAATACGACGATAAAGCTTTATTAATATATCAATGATTTATTATTTAGTTAACATTATACATTTAACAATCATATTCTAACATTTATAATGTTAGAATATGATATGTTTTATATTTTAATGGTGAAAAAATCAAAGTTTTACATGATATTTTTATTAGAAAATTTTATAAGGATTTTTTGAAAAAATAATGACAAAATTGATAGTTTTTCGTAACTTCAAATGTTATAACTTTTCCAATTCTTGTCAAAATGTATACAATTAGGTATAAAAACAAATATATGAAAGAGACAAGGCACCTACAACACCCAGTAATATGTTACGAATGTATATTTGTTAATGAAAGTTTTGTGTTTTTTATTGAAATTCTGGATTTTTATTTTCAATTTTTTATATCATTAAATATGATAGATAAACAAGTAGAAAAGAATATAGTATTACATAATACTCTCCTCATATGTAATGCTCTCCTTAAACGTAAATCAAATTGTTTAAACTGGATATGATGATTAAATGTTGTATCGGCATGGTTTTATCTGACTACTTTGCTTTTTCAATTTGGTTGCCAGCTTCAACCTAATTCTTGATTTAGAACTATGATTTTGAACTAAAACATTTCCGTGTTGAATAAAATACTATTTATTCTTAACTGTATTTTTTTTAAGGCTTCAGTTATCAAATGTTGGTGGTAATTTTAGTTATGCCACTATGAAAGCGTTGATTGTTGAGTATGTGTTTACTTTTTGTATTTTGTTTTGCTATGCAAATAATTTTTAATAATAATTACTTAATTATTAACTAATAAGTTTTGTTTTGTTAAATTATTTATTATGATTATTGTTCATCTGTATACATTACACTATAGAGTATATGTAAATGCATGTGCAATAGCATAGGTTGTATTTTTTTATGTATTCACATAAGACATTTTCAAGCACATTGTCCAATCTGCAAACTTAATTATTTTTATCCTTATGTCGAATGACAATGTTTTCCCCTTTCCCATCCCTGAATGTGAGGGAAATGAGTTCTGTAAATAACAGTATTTTATTTAATATTAAATTAAATTTCATCAACAGGTTTGTAACTTTATTAGTATTTTAGCTTTCAAAAGTTTTGATCATATAAAGATTAGTTTCCCTCCTTAAATGAGGAGGTTGCAAAATGTACATCATAACTTTTGAATGCTAATATGAACTCATTTCCCTCATATTCAGATATAGGAGAGCAAAATTTTTTGGGTATTTTAATTTTCAAGCACCTATGTATTATTTATAACAAATAATAGATTATAATTTATTTTTTTCATTGTCATTCCAGGTAGATATAAAAAGTTTGAAGTATGCACAAAGCCTGAAAGTGTCAAATATGGAACCTAAAAAAACCTGCCTTTGCCACTGACTGTATAAAGGTTTTTTAAGGTAAGAGCTTAAATAAATTAACAGAAAAAAATATTATAACTTAAACATTTTTATACTAAAATAGAATAAAAATATATATTTGTAGTTTCAGTTTTTACTGTCACAAATATTAAATATTTGTGACACAAAATACAGATATTGATGTCTGTCTTCTTTAATGTCATTAATGCTTTATCTACTGTTTTCTTTTTGTGCATGACCTAATTTCTTTTCATATCCATATTTTTTTAGGTCTGTTTGTTAAGCGTCAAGTCAGGTTATCTTGCTACTGATACCATGTAGTACATCCTGCCTAAGCAGGTTATACGCCATCCATACGACGTTTGGGCATCTGTTTGTAAAATATTGCTGCAAATCTTTTTGAGAGAGCCATTACTATGGAGAACCATCTAAACCATACAAGTGTGAAAACATGGATGTAAATCTTAAACACATTTGTGATATATAATTGTAGAATGTTATATGTTTGGAAATTATATTCTGGATGTAAGATTGGAAATTATATTCTGCTAAAAAAACTTTTTAAATGTATTTTAGCAGAACATACCTGGCTCGCATTTGATCCTGAAAAACTTTCTTTTTGGACCAAATGCTGGCTGGGTAATTTGGACTTGTAAATGAACTTATATTCATAATTTTTAAACTGCTTATGATCTGATCTGATTTTATTTTTGTCATTTGTTTATTTAGATTAATGTAAAATAAACTGATGAGTTTATTTAACTTAGCTGGTAAAAAAAAGAGTTTTCGTGAAACAAATTTAATGAAGACAATTATAGGTATACCTGTTAATGTAATATATTTTGTATTTATTTTGTATGCTTAGTTTTGACGAATTTTTAAATACTGCAAACTCACACTCGCACAAAAATCAACTGTGAACTCTTATATAATCAGTTGCAAAAGTTGACTTTGAAAATTTTGTATAAGATATTATAGCTTATTTATTAGACTGTGTTTTTAGAATGAAGTTCATTCATTTGCTAGCAACATGTTTAAACGTGGTCCAGATCAAAAAAATTTGGTGCTAGAAATTGTCGATAGTGGAAGTGATAGATGCATCGAACCTAATTTGTAATTAATTTCTGTAAATAAATTTCACTTTACTAATTTTTGTGTTGAATTTTTGTTTTTCTAATGGTATTTGAAATTATTAAGTCTAAAAATTAACGTATAAAAAAATACGCACCAAATAAGACCTATTTATGGCATTCCATACCTAATGTTTTTCATTATTTCTAAACTGTAACTTAAATTAAACTCAATTCTTAGTCCTATCGGGACGTCTTTTTTATGTTCCTCGTAAGGCTTCTTTTTTACGTTCCTCTCGGGACGTCTTTTTCACGTTCCTTCTGGGACGTCTTTAAAACGTTCCACGCAGAACGTCTTTCTGTATTTCCAAATCCAACCAATTTAAGACGTCCGATCGGGACGTCCTAAAGCCGTCCGCGTGCCCACTGGGATATATATATATATATATATATATATATATATATATATATATATATATATATATATATATATATATATATATATATATATATATATATATATATATATATATATATATATATGTGGGCAATTCCGCGAGAGTGGCGGTCGTAACATTTGACGTTCTTTAAGCTATTAAAAACGAACCAAAAATGGAAATTACTTGAGACTTCCCAGAAATGTGGAATACTATTACATAATTTAGTATGCAAAAGTTACAGCATATAAAAGTTTAATATTGAAGTATTAAACTTTTTTCAAATATTAACTCTGCGTTGCGTGACGGTCGTAACGTTTACTTTTTACCACTTCTGAACAAAACAACTTTGTCATACTAATTGCAGCGAACAGCACGGTAAAAAAAAATAATTTGGTGTGCGTATTTAGCACATTTTGATGTCATTATATGCTGAGTTTCATAGTTTTTACTAGATGTTTTATAAGCATTTTTATGTTTTTTTTCGTGACAGTCGTAACAAGAAATTAAAAAAAAAAAAAAACAAATAAAACAACACAATCAAAAAAAAAAAGATGAAGAATTATAAAAACCATGTAAACTATGTAAAAGTATAAATTTTATAATATTATCAAAATTTTCAATTATAGTTTTTTGATACTGGGTTCGTTAAATTTGAAATAGGCAACTAAAGACAGGTTGCTATATTTATTTATACTTTATTATTTTATTAAAGTTTAAATGGGTAATGCTCCCTGTTCTCAAAATAAGTTTATGAAATAGTTCTTTCAGAAAAGTAAAATTATTAATTTTTAAGTTATTTTACAAGCTTTGGTTGCGAACTTGGCGGACCTGTACACAGCGTACCCTAAACTCGGTGAAGTTCGTAAACGAACTCGGTAAAGTTTGAAACGATAACTTTGCTGTTTAATGATTGGCTAATATTAACAATCGAAAATTTAGCATAAAAGTTTTTAATTCGCGCATCCTGAGCCCATTTTTTACCGCCTTTAAAATAAGTAAGGTGACACATTTCGCTGAATTCATTGAAAGTATAAAAGAAAAAAAATTGGTTGATTTTTTGCAACAAAAAAGGCTAATGCCACTCCAAAAACTATGTCTATGTGGTCAACTATGTCTATGTGGTCAAAGGATGGTTGTGCAAAATTGTGAACGTTGCCAAGTATGAATACTTAACATTTTTATTATTATTTGCACAAAACAGATTATCCTTTGTATCTTAAAAATACTTTATTTAAGGAAAAACATGTTTAATGATAGGTATCCTCTGTAATGTAATGTAAAATAAGTATTAAAATATAATATTTACATTGAAAATGTATTATAGTATTTATATTGAACTTGTTTTTTTTTTATAATACAATACAAAATATACGCTGCAAAAACTAAAAGAAGATAAGCCACAAAAAAATTTGTAAAGAAGAGAAGCTACCTTTAGAAGATCGATTAAAAGAAGATAAGCTCGAAAAATATATGTTAAGAAGAGAAGTTACCTTTAGAAGATCTATTTAATCTAATATTTAATGTAGATATGTTGATAATTTGCAAAATTTTAACTTTTTATATCTCTTATAGCATGTTTATATGCGCAATTGCTCACTTTTTTTGCTAGCCTAAATTAAGTGAGCGTTTTTAGAAAACGATGAGGGAAAACGAAGATTAATGAATGATAAAGTTGCTGACCCATACCAAAACCTCAGTCAATGTAGCAACACTCCACTGCGAGTCAGGCTATTTGTCAGTCATATATATATACATATATATATATATATATATATATATATATATATATATATATATATATATATATATATATATATATATATTATATATATATATATATATATATATATATATATATATATATATATATATATACATATATATATATATATATATATATATATATATATATATATATATATACATACATATATATATATATATATATATATATATATATATATATATATATATATATATATATATATATATATATATATATATGTATATATATGTATATGTATATGTATGTTTATATATATATATATATATATATATATATATATATATATATATATATATATATATATATATATATATATATATATATATCCTGATTTAAGTACTACATAATAAAATACATCGTTGTACAGTCATTTTGATGGTCGTACATGGAGGGTGTGAACAAACTGCTGCTGCAACAAAAACAGAATTAAATGGAGAAAGAGTAAAAGTTTTCAACCGCAATTTCACTAATTCAAACTTAAGATGTCTTACTGAAAATAAGTATTGCATTAGAGAGAAGTAGCTATCCCAAGTCAGATGAAGAAAATCAGTCTGAAGATCAAAATACAGCACAATTTCTGAGCACGAGTTAATTATTTACTATGAAAACAAAGATGTCAAAGAGTTGTATCATTTGAACTAGCAGCTATGTTTAAATAATATAGACTGAGTAAGCTGACTGGTTATGATGGTCGTCTTTGAGGCTTAAAGGATATGATGCTAAAACACTTGCTTTGAACAGATCAATCATAAAGTGTCTACGCTAAATACATAGAGAAAAAGAAGCGACTAGCATTATGTTCATAAGAGTGGGATACTAATGCCGGATTTGACCAGCACAGAGAAATTAGACAGGCTGCCAATTATGAAAAGAAGATGAAGTTCATGAAGAGAAGATGAAAACAAAGTGTTTGGAAATTCCAAAGATTTCTGCAGATTCTAGTCAAGCAGAAGCTTAATTTGTCTACAATGTCTATCCGAAAATGGGAGCTGAAGAACTTGGTCCAAAAGTTGTATTTTGATACAACCAGATTGAATACTGTTCCTTTGTCAGGTTCTTGCATCTTTCTAGAGAAGCTACTAGATAGGCCTCTTTTTCATTTTGTTTGTCTTCATCATATTTTGAAGTTGGTATTGGCTGCCGCCATATGAGTTTGTATGTGCTCAGGTAAAGTACAGATAACTCTTGTCTTCAAATAGTTCAAAACATATTATTTGTCAATTGACTAAGAAACATATGAGAATGTCTTTTCTAATGAATCGGCCTTTATTGAACTTGCTCATCTAAAAGATAAAATGATTGAATTCTGTTAATAACAGATCATGTTAATGCAGGATCATCAACCACGTGATAACTATTGCTGCTGCTTAAACTAATGCTCAATTTTTTGGAAAGAATATCACAGAAATGGAAACTACAGAAGATTTTCAATGTCTTGGGTTAATGTATCAGACTCGCAAAATGGCAAATGCCATTTATAGTATCAAAGCTTGGCTCTCTGGGTCGAAGTTCAAGCTCACAAAGTAATAATTTCATGGCCTTCTACATGTCATTATATTTCTGGTGAAGTTGTATATCAGTTTTTGATATTTAGCACACCTGGCATCTAAAACTGCTATGATTTATCTGAAACTGCTTTAACAACTGTGCGCATTATTGATAAAGATATAGGTGTCGCAACATTAAGCAAGATTACTGGTCACATACAGTATTTATCGGAGAACTTGATCTCATTGATCTTTTATCCTAAAGTAAATGTATCTGCAAAGCAATGGTAAAATTGTCAAAAGAGAAAGAGGGAGAAGTGAAACCCTTAAAACGTGTTCAGATGGATTTGGCAACTGTGCAGCAAAAGATACTAATTGATATTGATTTCAAAAGAAGAAGAAATTTTTTTTCTATGTTGGGCATGCCCAATGCATTACTAACCAAAGACTATCTCTTCTGTTCTAGGAAGAATCGTAGAGCAGTAAAGTAGATTTTAGGACAACGAATGCTATAAGACCTCGGTAGTTATTAATAACCGTGCAGAACGCGGAGTCGCTTTGATTCCAAATGCTGTACAGTCTGGGCAATGACAATTACGGATTATTTGTGACTCACGTTCCACAGTTTCTGATAACTTATTATAAATTATATATTTTTCACTGTTACAAATAGTTTCCATTTAGATTATGGTATATTAAAGAAATTTTGATTGAAATTTTATAACTGACTGCATTACTTCAAACATAGTCAAGTTTTTTGCTATAGGTAAACCGACGACTCAATTAGGTAAACTTTAAAGGCTTTGAGCCTAGTGGTGGGTTTTAGAGGGGGGAAATAGGGATAGTAGCCCCCCCCCACCCTCCTTGGGAATTTTTTTCAGAAATAATCTTTTGTAATTTGACTATTATGCAGAATTGGACTATTAAACTGACGAATGAAATTGACTATTATACAAAATTATACGTATGTGAACTTGATTTTTATTAAGGAAAGCTACTTATTAATAAAAATATGGAACCTTTTTTTATATATTTTTTGACCTTTTAGCCCCTCCTTGGCGCGTGACAAAACCCGCCCCTGTTTGAGCTACCCCTAGTTATTAAAATTTTATCAAACTTTCCATATAATTTTTTTTTAATATGTTTTTATGACTAACTATTGTTATTAATTATTTTTAACATATAAAATATTAGAGATATAGAATTGTTGAAATCTACACAAAATATAAACATGAAACTTTTCCACAATTTTTACTAAAAATTGTATCTGTATTTTTTGTTTTTGTGCTTCAATTCAGTTCCATTTAATTACACTAGTAGTTAGTATCTCCTGAGGCATATGGATAATTAGTCTTTGCCAAAATGT